CAGCTGACATCAAAGATTTATTGAGGTGTTGTTTCCCAAAGTTCCCAGTCTCCAAATGTTCTCTGAAAAGAATATAATTTATGGACTTATTATGGACAATAACAACAGTGACTTTCTCATCAACACTATTATCATTCTGGGGAAATTTTTCATCCATAAAGCTAAATATCTTAAGGTTAAATCAAATTTCTATCATTTTCACGACTTTATTTTGTACTGCAATTCTCTTAAAGTGATGCACACTAAACATGCCCACAATCTGTGCTCTTTAATTGAAGAATATGATTTAACATCTAAACCTTAACCTTCTTTTTTTGTTCCTTCTTATTTTTAAACTTCTTATCTTTATTTGCACCCCTCATTTTCTCTTATATGCAAGTTTGTTTGTTTGTTTGTTTGTTTGAAATATGCCTTATTGTTTGTACATTGTATTATTTTGTGTGTTCTTTGTTGTTTGATCAAAAAATAAATAAATAAATAAACCTGCTACTGTACAATCTGTCCGCCATGTTGGACAGGTGTAGGTGCGCTGACTTATCGCAGCCGAGTCCGACTCTCAGTTTTTACTTGGGAAACAATATTACAACACAGAAATAGTACCTAAGATTTATATCACAAAGTAGGCCTAATATTACACATCATACATATGCTATATCACATTACAAATGTAAACWTTTGGTGAGACTTAAAACACTCATTCAGATTTTTATCTCAAATTACACACCACCCCGTTCAAGCATATTAAAAAAAATTAACAGGTAGTTTTGTAGCTACTTAAATCACCACAGGCTTGTTGTATAGTAACATGGACACAGCTTGTAGGGTTATTGAAAAATTATGTTTGAAATCATTTCAAGTGTTTAATGTGCAACTCGATTAGATCAATGTTTTTAAGCAAGTTCATATACTGAAAACTCTGTCAAAAATATTTTAGTTGCTGTAAATGTAAAAAAAACGTAAATCCTATTTTCACTGTGTTTAAAATATATTTTGTTGAAAATTATCTAACTGCCTTAAAATGCATGAAATGTAAGAAAGTAAAGTCACTATTAAATGCATTTGAAAAATGAGAATTCTGATTGTAGCTACAACTGTGAATGTCTGTATATATA